TGCCTGGGAAACAGCAGAGTACCGGGCTGAGGTCCCGGCCGTCCACGGGTACCTGAAGCAGATCTGCACACAGACCGAGATGAGACCGAGGGGAACCACAGAGAGGGAGAGTGGGGCCAGCACATTAGGGAACCTTCTACGATCAGAGATGAAATGAGGTAATTTCTCAGAGCTCTGGGAGCCAGCGTGAACCTTCCCTAACAGACACCTTGGGGTCCAGTGAAGTTCAGTGTGTCTGAGGCCAGGAGAGAATGGCAGCAAGAATGGGACAGCATGTAACGGGCTGCCCCACTTGCCAGCCATCTCTGGCCTCTTGCCCAAGGGGACCACAGCCAGCAGACACTGGGCCCAAGAGCCTGTGAGTCTGGGCACCTCACCTGTCCTCTCTCCCGGGCACAAAGGAGCCCATCTAACCTCATTTCCAACTCACTCCCTGGCTTGGGTAAAGCAGTCTTGAGAGCCTCAAAAGAACAAGTACATCTTGGTTCCTCGGGCAGCAGCCTCTCACTCATTCTCCCCACCAGGACCGAGGCTGCAGGGGCTCCGCATCCTGCATCCCTCAGGCTCCGGACCTTCAGGCACCATGGTCCTTCGCACAGGCCCCTCAGCCCCTGCACCCAGCTCCCTGCTCCTTCCCCAAACCAGGCCACTGGTGGACTGGTGGGCTGGCACTTGCTTCATGGTGTGGAGTGCTTCCCCCAACTCGCTCCTCTGCTTGCTCATTCAGACTGTGGCTCAAACGTCACCTTCTCCCTGCGCCTTCCCAGAGGACCCCCTTAAAGCTTCAGCCTTTCCCCTGCACTTTCATGCACCTTCCTTGTCTCACTTTCTCCACAGCAATGGCTCCCATCTATGACAGGTTGAGTTGTGACTTTCCTCCCAAAACAGACAAGTTGAAGTTCTAACCCTCAGTACTTCCAAATGTGACTTGGTCTGGAAATAGTGTCACTGCAGAAGCAGTTAGTTTTGTTGTTGTTATTGTTGCTTTCATTTTCCAGGGCTGGGCCTTCACAGTGAGCTACATTTTTTATTTTTTACTTTGAGACAGGCTGTGAGTAAGTCACTAAATTGCCCAGGATGGACAATGGTTTTCCTGCCTCAGCCTCCCAGAGTTCTGGAATTATAGGTGTGTGCCATCACACCCAATTTAGAAGTCATTAGTTAAATAAAGATGAGATCATACCAGACTGGAATGGAGTAGAACCCTAAATCCAAAACAACCACTGTCTCTGCAAGAAGGAAGACACAAAAAAAAAAAAAAAAAAAAGAAGAAGAAGAAGAAGACACTTGGAGACAGAGCCACCAAATATTGCTGCCACCACCAGAGGCTACTAAAAGGCAAGAAAAGATTCCCCACCAGGTTTGAGAGGGAGCATGGACCGATGGTACCTGGATTTGGGACTTCTATCCTAGAGAACTGTGAGCGAATCAATTCTGCTGTGAATCATTTGATGCAGCCGTCCTGGGTATGGATGCACCATCTGCTGTATCTATGTTAAATTACGCACACAATTCATCACCTAATCCACTTCACAAAAATCAAGCAGCACAGAGGCAGGAGTTCCTGGGTGTTTGGCTCATCGCTACACCCACAGGCCTAGAGCGAAGGCCAGCACGCGCTAAGTGCTTTATAGACAGAGGTAGATGCGTGAGTGAGTGAGTGAAGTGCAACATGCCTTGACCTCCACGGCAGACTTGGTGCCTGGCGGCCAGTCGCCTGCTCCTCTCTGCTCCCAGGAATGTCCTGTGAGGGCTGGGGGAACCTCCAACAATATGCCCCTTGTCTTGGTCTATTTTCTGTTACTGTAACTTAGTACCACAGACTGAAGAATTTTCAGTATTCACTATTCTAAAGGCTGAGCTGCTCAAGATCAGGCAGCCATGTGTGCTAAGAATGTTCCTGCTGGTAGATACTCTGCAGAGTCCCAAGGCAGAACATGGCCAGATAGAATGTCCCAGCCCACATCTCTTCTTCTTTTTTAATTTTAATTTAATTCAATTTAGTTATTTTTAGACACAGTCTCACTAAATTGCTCAGGCTGGCCTCGAATTTGCCCTCTTGTATCACTCTCACAAGTTCCTGGTATGGGCCACTAAAAATCCTAATGTTTCTCACTGTGTAACCCAGGCTGGCCTTGAACTCACAGCAACCCTCCTGCCTCAGCCTTCCAAGTGCTGGAATTACAGGCATGCATCACCATCAATGGGCCCAGCTTCCTCCTCTTCTTCTAAAGTCATAGTCCCATCGGATTAGGGCCCCACCATTATGGCCTCATTCAACTTTACCTTCCAGACATCTCATCTTCAAAAGTTATAGTTGCATTAAGTTTCTGCCTTAATTCTTCATAATAGGATAAATTTCAACATGAGACCAGCTATGCAGGAGGCTGAAGCAGAAGATCATCAGAAGTGCAAGCCCAGCCTAAGTGACTTGGTGAAACCCTATCTCAAGAAACAAAAGAGGGCTGGGGATATAACTCAGTGGTAGAGAAGTCCAGTATTAGATCTCTAGTACCAAAATAACAATCAGAATAAAGAAAAATACATCATGAGTTTCAGTGAGAACATTCAAACTACAACACTGAGCAGAGCATGGTGGCACTGCCTGAATCACAAGTTCATGCCCAGCGTCGGCAACTTAATGAATTATCGAGACCCTTTCTCAAAATAGAAACTTCTTTCAAAAGTTGAGGAGGAAGCTCTGGGGAGGTCATTCAGTGTATGGACCCTGAATTCAATCCTCAGTATTCAAGGGGAAAAAAAAACAAACCTGCCAGCATTCCCCTTCAGTGTACTCCCCTCAGCCCCACAATGGTGGCTTTGGCATCACCTGGAACTGGCCCAGCTGAGCTGGCTTTGGGGTTGGACTCAAGACCTGGCTATCAGAAGTGTGATGTCTCCTAGAAAAGCCAGAAGTAGTCATAATCCAAGAAGAACACTAGTCAAGGAAACAAGTCAAAGAACGCTAGTCAAGGCCTGTCCCCCAGAGCAGCAGCATCCTCCTCCACCAAGAGCCAGAGGAGCCACATGGAGAGCAGGAACAGGATGTGGGTCTAAGCTAAAGTAGGACAGGCTATGAGGACATCAGCAAACCCAGGTCTCATCTTGTAGGGTGAGGGTCAGTGGCTAAGAGGGGTGAGCCAGCTGCAAGGTGCTAGCAAACCAGAAGACACTTCACCAACCTCCTGCAAAAGTCAACTGGCTCAGCACTACCTAGGAACTAACAATGGACACCCAAGAGGGCATTTGACTTCCAAAGCAGCAGCCAACGTTAAGTATCTGTGGAGAAAATGAAGTGAAATCCAGGGATCCAATCAGATGTAGAGAATGTGGATACAGAATAATATACAAGAAAAGACCGGTGAGTTTTGATTCTCAGTGAGCTATGGAAATTCCAGGAAGTGTTTTTCATTGGAGCTTGGATTTGTCCCTTAATATTTCTCATTGTATAGCTTTTAATTTAACATACTTATAAATATAGCTATGCACATATTATTTTATTTAAAAACTAGACTGTATTTAGGTACCTATACATTTTATAAAGCATATTTAATTATTTAAAAAAGAGAAGTTGGGCTGAGCATGATGGCACATGACTGTAATCCCAGAACTCAGGATGCTGAGGCAAGAGGTTTGTTGTGAGGTTGAGATTAGCTTGAGCTACAAAGTGAGTACAAGGTCAGCCAATTAATGAGACCTTGTCTCAAAAAGACAAATAAATAAATAAAGAGAAGTTAACTGTTTATTCAACACCTATTTATTGAGCAACTCCTAGGCCAAGCCAGTGAACAAATAAGTCACAAGTCCTATTCTCATGGGCTGAGCATAATTTCAGAGAAAAGGCACTCCATGTACAACTAAACACTCAAAGGGAGACTCCAGGATGATCCCAGGTTGCTATGGGAACACGTGACTAGACCCTCACTGCAGGGGGTCAGGAGAGTTTCCCTGAGGAAGGAACCTCACACCTAAAAGAAGAGATGGGCAGGGGCTAGGGATGTAGCTCAGCGGCATAAGTGCCTGCCTTGCAAGCAGGCAGTCTTGAGTTCGATCCCTGGTACCGATTTAAAGGAAAAAGACAAAAAAAAAAAAAAAAAAAAAAAAAAAAAGAAGAGATGAGCAGTGGGATAGGAACAGCATTTTCCAAGGCACAGTGGATATGAGATGACAGAGTACAGGTGCGATAATGGCAAGAGATGCAGGCAAAGGAGCAGAAACCCAGGAGGGCTACAACTTAGGGACCACAGGAGGATTTAAGGGAGCAACAGGTATTACACAGGGAAGTGGCTTGACAAATTCATTCTCATTCGTTCTCTCTCTCGTTCTCTCACTCTCTCCCCCGCTCTAAGTTTCTGCGATGTAGTCCAGACCAGCCTTGAACTCACTGAGTTGCTCAAACTGCCAACTCTTCCTGCTTCAACCTCCTACCTGCAGGGACACACGTCCATCCAGCTACAACTCCCTTTTCAGAGATCACCATGATGACAGTGAAGAATGGGAGGCCCTGAAGCACCGAAGGGAACCAAATGAGAGAGGAGGCCAGAGCAGAGGGGTGTAAAGCCCTCTGAGAGGTAGAATGGACCATATTTGGTGACAGACTAGCTGTGAAAGAGTGGCGAGAAAAACCAGGGACAGCTGTTATGCAGGTGGCCACACTCACTGGGAGCAAGAAAAATACTTCCTCGGGGTTCCTTGGGAAAGAAGGCACACTGGGAACCAAAGCCAGCACATGATCACCCTGCCCTGGCTGCCTTCCACCCTGCTACATACATGCTGCTCTCTCCCCCACCCTGCAAGGCCCGCCACACTAACCTCCTTTCCACCCCTCAGACTCAACAAACTCATTCCCACTGAGAGCCTTTTTACACGCCTTTCCTCTGGCAAGAACACCGTGCCTCCGCCCTTGCCTGGCCAGGTCCTGCTCACTCACTGTTCAGGTCTCGACTCAAATGTCACCTCCCCAGAGACGTATCTGTAGCATAGCCATTACCTGCAATTACCTCATGTCTTCTTTTACAGGTCCATCGAATGTCCCCTGGCACCAGAACACAGGGCTCCTCAGGGAAGGGATCTCACTGTTCTCCACTCCAGCGCCCTGCTCCACAGGGCTCTGCAGAATGGACACTCAAGGGCCGGGCCAGGCAGGCTGCTGACTTCAGAGCTGCAGGCACAGAGAGGGCCAGCCCAGTGCCAGAAAGAGGCAGGCAAGAAGGTAGATCTGTGCAGAGCCCTGAGGACTTGGGAAGAAGTGCTGGGAGAAAGAGAGGAAAGGCAGGCAGAAGGCAAACCAAGACTCCCCGGGGCACAACCTAACAGCTGGGGAACCCGGACTAAACCCATGCAGGGCTCAAGGTCAGGTGCCTAGACTCAAAAGCACACACCTCATCATCTGAGTCCCACTGAGTGCGTTATTACAGTTTCCTACTGCTGACCACAGAGAGCGCAGAGGCTGCTTCTCACAGAAGTCAGGGGAAGCATCGCAAGGATGATGGACAGGTCAGCACAGCAGAAGCGGCCAGGAGAGACTAAGACAAGGATTGAAAAGCTGTCCCAGGCTTTGGTGGAGAGGGGTAATCAGGCAGAGAGGGGTGGAGGCCAGGCTGGGGAGGACCAAGAGACAAGTTGGAGGCCAATAAACAGGGGTGGCAAGCAAGGCAGCTCCGAGAAGCTTGGCGATAGGAGAGTAACTGGAGGAGCAGTGGGGGCAAAAGAAAGCTATTTTAAGACAGAAGAAACCTGAGTGTGTGTTGATGCTAGAGCCAGCAGAGGAGCCATTAAAGCAGCATCGGGAGGATGCTAGGAGGGCAGGCTGGGGCAGGAGGAGTACAGCGGTGGGAGCACAGCCCTCCTTACTGGCTTCTCTTTTCCCTAAGAAGCAGGAGGGAAGGGTCTGAGCAGAGCTCTAGGGGGCAGGATGCTCAGGGTCTGAGCCTGGGAAAAGCTTGAAGGAAGACAGCTGAGAAACAGAGAGCTGCTGGCACCATGGCCAAGCAGTGGCAACAGTCCCAGGGGCCTACGTGACCATTCCTGCAAACATCAATCTGCCTAGAGTACAAGGTCAAAGAACAGGACACTGCACGGCTCAGGTTTTATAAGGGTAATTCTACAGGGAAGTGAAGTTAGGACATGGGCAAAAGAATGCTCCTGGAATCTAAACTGGAAGGCGCAGAAATGGTCTGGGAGACAGGGAGAAAGCAAAGGCCACATGTCAAGTGACCCTAACAAACACATCTGCCTGAGCAGGCTGAAAGAACAGGAGTGGGTGTCAGGCACAGCACATGAAGTAGGGTTCTCAAAGGTGTGTGTGTATGGCAGAGGGGGCCCTGAGCAGGACACAGTGGACAGAGGAGCCACACCAGTGGGGTACACAGCTGTAGCCTCTCCAACTGCAAGGAAAGGCTGGTGGCCAGAAGTAGGAAGCGATACCTTTTTCTTCTGGTTTTGGCTTTTACTTTGCCTAGGTGAGACAAGTGCATGGTATAGCATTAGCACAATATAAAGGGAAGAACTATAAAGAAAATAAATCCCACAGTGGATTCTTCAGCCCTGGGGGACCACGTTACCACTTTCTCCTGTGTGAGGGCTTCTTCCTCTGAGGTCGAGCTGAAAGCCATAATGGTGTATAGCTCAGGTACTAGCTTCTCCAAGGAGGAACCCAACTGTGGGCCCTTTCCCACCATCCCAGAACTGCTGGGGACACTAATACTCCAGACCAACCTCCCTGTCTCTGAAAACCTCTCTCCCCCAACTCACTGAGGAACCCATCCCTGGCTTCCTCCATCTCCTGGTCAGCCTTACCCCTTGCTCTGCCTTTATTTAAGTGGTAGTCAAATAGGTCAGTGGCCCAGGCTGCAGCCCTAGCAACCTTGATCCATTCCACGCTTTCATCTCTTGAAACCTCAAGGTTCAAATCCCTCTGCTGAGCTCCAGCCCTCTAAACTACCTGTCCACCTAACAGCTCCCTGGGACATTCCTCAAATTCAGTGCACCAGAGCTGCTTTCCTTGGCCACCCCCTGCCTGTGTCCCCTCTGCAGCAGCTATGCGTTGGTTAATGGCCATCTAGCACCTACCTGTTTGCTCCAGGACTGGACAAGTACAGGTATGCTGAGGAATTGTACCTCTGAGTTGGACCCTGTAGTTGGGGGTGTCCCCCCAGCACCTCTTTCCTGATAGACCTGAAGCTGAGAGGCCATAAATCCAATGTCCATGAGACCAGTACCACTGACATGCACTGTGCACTTGCACTCTGCACACGTCAGTCTCTGTCCATTCCAGTAACAGATGGACAAGCCAGGTCCTGTAATTCCCCAATCTGAAAATGAGGAAATTAAGCTATAAGAGAGCTTTAGGACCTTGCTCAGGAACTTTATTATCTTTTTCTTTTTTGAGACAAGGTCTCACTGCATAGTTCAGATTGGCCTTGAACTCACCATGCAGACCTGGCTGGCCTTGAACTTGAAGATTAGAGGTGTGCATCACCACACCTGGCCATTTTATTGTTAGTTTAAATGTGGTGTCAAAACCTGAATCCAGTTCAGGAACATTTGTACTTGCAAACAATTTGGTTTTGTTTTTTGTTTCCTGTTTTTTTTTCGGGGGGTACTGAGGATTGAACTCATGACCTTGTGCTTGCCACACAGGCACTGAGGATGCTGAGCTATATCCCTGGCCCCAGCAATTTGGCTCTCAAACAAATGAGATCAACAAAACTTTGCTTCTGTTCACAAATTGCACATTAGGTAGCAAACACAACTATGGCCATCTTCCTCACACAAACAGAAACATAGCCACCTTCCCCCAAATTGTAAAACAAATTAAGTTCCTGAACCAAGGTGCCACTGTACTGTGATTGAACTGGGAGGCACACTCTACCGTTGAACCCCTTCCCAACCCTTTTTTTTTTAAATTTTGGGACAGAGTCTCATTTATTTCTCCAGATGGGCCCCAAACCCAGCTTCCCTCAGTGCTTATATTATAGGCATGCGCCACTTAAAATGTCTCATCTTTTGTTAGAATCCTTGATCGCAACCATTAGACAACACTACCCAAAGCAGACATAGAGGCAAGCAGAATCAAGCTAGGGAAGGAAAAATTAGGGCCTGCTTCCATTTGGGCCCTAAATCATGCCAGGCCTGAGGCCAGAACTACCCTTATCCGTTTGAATTATACAGGTTAATCAACTCCCTCCTGTGTCCTCCTGTTTAAGTCAAATAGTTTGGGTTTCCTGCAAATTCAGACCACAAAATTCCTAACCGATAACACATCATCGGTGCAAGACATCACCGTCCACTCAGTATTCAGACCAGAAACCAGGGCATCCTCCTCCCCGCCTCTGCTTCCTCCTTCATATCCAGCCAGCAACCACAGCCTGCATCCCAAGCTCTGGGGACTCGATCTGGCTGCCTCTTTACTTCTAGCTGCTTCCACCCCAAAATATACCTCTGCCACGGAAGATTCAGATCTTACCACAGCACTTCCTGGCTTGAAAGCCTCCAGTCACCTAGCTATCCCTGGGACACCCTCCAGCTCCAGGCCATGCCAGCCCCATTCATTGCCGAGGTCTCCTGTTCCTTCCACTCTAACTACCAACTGCTGAAGCCCCCTCTGCCCACAGTGCTCTTGTTCCCTCTTGCCTGGACAAGCCCCACTCCTTACTGCCCCGCCTCTGGTTAGGCAGCTCCCAGCCGAGCTCCCCCTCTGCGCTCATCTGGGCACATTATATAGCCCACTTTAACTTCCATCTTGTGTGCCCTGTTTTTTATGACTGTGAGCTCTGTGACAGCAGGGCTGATCACTTTTTTTCAAGGGGAGCATGGACTCACTAGGTCCTCCTGGAAGGGATAAAAATCAAGTGCTTGCAGGAACAGAGTGGGTGGTTCCACAGCTCTGTTCCTTTCTCTCCCCTTCTCTTCTTTGCAGATGGTCAGGTTCCAGAAAAACAGTAACAAGGTCACATGGTAACAAAAGTACAGAAAGTCTCATCAATGGACAAACCTTATCTATTGGCTCCTCACCTGAACATTGTTGCTCCCACTTCATGGATGGAGAGACTGAGGTTCAGGAAAGTCTACAATCTGAAACTGAGTGCACAGACACAAACAAAGTGCTCTCATCTCAGCACCAGCCTCAGGCCAGACTCTGAAGGGAGCAGTGCTTTTTCTCATACTGGCCACAGAGAAGCAACGAAGTGCTGGCACAAGTCACTTTGTGTCCCATTTCACACTCACCTTCACAAAGCGAGGGTGGAAACAGATCCAAGGCCAGGCAAGGTGGTATATGCCTATAATCCTTGCACTAAGGAAACTGAGAGAGGATCACCATGAGTTCGAGGCCAGCTGGACTATAGAGTTCACGGCCAGCCAAACTGCATAGCAAGATCCTGTCTCAAAAAAACAAAACGAAGTGTCAAAGGCTAGAAACACAGATTGTATACCAGAGACTTGCGTTAGCAGCTTATTTAATAAGAAGCCATAGAAAGTGATGGGGAATTACAGGATTGTTTTGGCACCCTGGGCTTCCAAATGGATGGTACTGACCGATAGCCCACAGCAGGGATATGTCATCGACCTCTCACATCAGTGCTGCCCACACCAGGCAGGTAGCGGCTGCATTCATGTCCACAGAGGCCTGGTGAACAGAGGCCACAATCTACATCTCCTTCTCTGAACGCCAAGGGTATGTGGCCACTTCCCGGGAGACACACAGCAGTCCCCAACTATTCCTAGGGCCCAGACCACACAGGCCCATACCCAACTGTACTTCAGAAGGTCACAGGGAACAGCTCAGGGGCAGCAGCCCTAGGATGAGTCACCACAGTCCAGATGCTTCCCAGTCATCATCTGTAGGGTGAATGGGTTGAAGGTAGCAGAAGTCCTCTCCGGAGGGCAGCTAGCGGGCAGCACTCCCGAAGGCAGACCAGGCCTGGCTCAGGAACCTGTAAGAGACGGCCATACCCACCCTTGCTGGAGGGAAGCTGCACTGCTGTGGAGGTGAAGGGAGAGACCAGACAGCCCCTGCAGCCTAACCCAGCACAGGGTGAACTCGGGCTGGAAGAATGTTAAGGCATTCTGTCAGCCCATCAGTTGCCTTGGTCCTTCCCCAAGCACAGACAGATGGACCTCTTGAGGGGACTCACATCTGCACCCGGCATTCATCTCTCACTTCCTGCTGGTGCCCGACAGGGAGTGACAAGAGCACTCACATTGCCATTTTCTAAATTCTCTTCACTCAGCCTGATCAGGGTCAGAGTCCCACAGAAAATGTCTCAGATCTTCCCCCTAAAAACACTGAGGTCCCCAACACACCCCACACCTACTTCAAACACTTAAGATGAAGGGATATCAAGGCGGGAAGGTGAGGAAAGTACTTATCCCTTTGTCTCCCTCACCCCTGGCCTGGATGTGAACAGACATCATGATGCTGTAGACACAGCCCTTCCTCTCACCAAGTCACTTTACACCCCTAATACATCAAGCACTTGAACCAGAGGCCATACCGAAGGTCATCATCATCCTTCAGTTCCGACCCCTTGGACTTTCCCTATGGGTTTTTATTCTAGTAACTCTCTCAGCCATTTCCCACTCCTCAGGTTCTAGCCAGACAAGCTGCATCCAGCTGCCTGTGGAGCTATTGCTGCCTGGCATCTGGAAAACTGTTCCGGCAGAAAGCGGGCATCTGATAAAACCAGTGGGTGAGCAGAGACAGAAGCTGTGATAGGGGCTTGGGCTGCAAGTCTCTGACTCGAGCTGGTCATCACATGTATCTGAAGGTTTGTTCTTTGGGGCAGAGAGGCCACATTTTGTAGCAGCCTCTCAAACAGTGGTGGAAACAGGAGAAGGAAGGAAGGCTGCAGTAGGATAGGCAGCCCAGGGGAGGAAAGAGCCTTAGGATCCAGAGTTCCAGCTCAGCCATCTCTTAAGCATGTTTTGTGCTTCTGAGTTTTTGCGCTTTTCTCAATTCTCTGAGAAGCTCCCTCTTTGTAAAATGAAGAGTTCCTGAGAGTTAGGAGTCCCTCTATCCCAGTTGGTGTGGAACACCAAGGCGAGTAAGGGAAAGATGTTCAAGCAGCACAATGCATCAGGCCAGAGTTAGAAGAACCGGAGTAAAAGCAGTTCTCCCCACCCAACTCCGCAAAGCCCAGCAGAGTAAGGGGGAGAATGTCCCCTGGGTCTAGCCAGGAGTTGGTGCCAGGCGCAGTCACACACACCCTTCACTGCCCTGGACAGCCCTCTTTCCAAGGGTGGAGGTGGTGTCCTCGAGGTGAGAAGCTGACAGCTCAGCAAGGCCACTGTGACACAGCTGCCCAGGGTTAGTGCCAAGTCATGAGCTGCTCAACAGGAATCACACATCGTAGTCAGCTTCACAGCTGCTGAGCTGCACCTGCCCATACCTTCCAGTCCCTCACCAACCCCTCCTCCTAGTACCCCGCAGGGCTGCTTTCTCAGAGGGTCATGGGCAAGAGGTCAGTCACCCCCAACAAACACTGACACCCACAGAAACCTCCCACAGCACCTACTTACATCACTGACCAGAGGGGACAGAGAAAGCCCCCCCACACTCACACACTCCACCCAGTCGAGGTAGCCTTGGCCTGAAGTTACCTTGTCCTTTGGGCCACCCAGGCCCTTCCTTCCAGATGGTTCCTGTCTCTGAACAGCCGGGGTAAAAGAGTCAGACACAGCTCCGCAGCTGGGACTCCTTAGTCCCACTTCCTGGAGCAATGTGCTCCTGAGGCGCGCCAGCTGGCAGCAATCTTGCCATCACACACCTCTAACTTATGCCACACAAAGCTCCTTGCTCTGGGTGACATCTGTCCTCCAGACCTGAGCAGGCCACACTCCCTACTCTGAAGATGTCTGTAGCCGTCTCTCCCCAACCTCTAGTGCAAAATGCAGTACTGAGGCCAGGGGGTTGTCCCTTAGTACCTCAGGGACAGGGCAGTCACAGTGATTAGAGGGGTGAAGGGAAGAAGGGATCCAAAGCACACTGTAGCCCCCAAACTCTCTCCACTTTGACCTGTCCACTGTCCCCTCTTCCAGTTACATAGTAGCTATCTATTCCTAGAAAAAGGACATAGAAATGGGGGATCCTTAAGTGGAAAGGGACTCCATGCTGCCCGAGACAACCCTGAGGAGGCAGCACATCCAAACAGGAAGCTGTAGCCCCAATCCTCAAACTGACTGGGATTGGGGAGCTCAGCCTTACTGAAGGCTGTCTCCCCTGGGTGCCTGGCTACACCCAGAGACCTGTCCTCACGAGGAAGACTGTCCACCCTCCCACACCCCCACACCCCACCCCCGCTGTCCCCTGCCCCTACCCTCTCACCTGTGCTTGGCATCCTAGTTTGGGGGAAAGGCCTCACAGGTGTAAGGCATGCAATCTCCAACACAGCCTAGCACCTAGTTGTCACCTTCACTGGTGCCGCTGGTCTCAGCCTCAAGGGATGCATGCCGTTCATGAGCCAGCAGCCCTATCAGGCCATGGACACGGAAGAGAAGGCTGCCACCGAGGAACAGGATCCCGAAGAGCACAAGCAGCGACAGCACACCCAGCACTGTAGCCTGCACAGCATGAAGTCCCCCCAGGGACTCTGACAGTGCCCCTGACTGGTTGCAACAACTCAGCCAGGCAGCTTGAGCCACAACGCCTGCCTGTGAGCGGTTCATGCTCCAGCACCCCCTGCCCAGATGTGTGCAGGACAGCAGATGTGTAAGAACTCCAGCTAATAAGTGGGCGTGCTGCTGCGCAGGGGAGGGATCTTAGGGGCGTGTCCCAGAGGCCCCAGTCCTCCACTCCTTGCAAACAATGCTCAGCCCCTTCCTTTTACAGAGGGCTCCTCCAGTGTGGACTACTTCCCTTCTGCAAAGGGAAATAAATGGTCCAAACTTGTTTCTCCTCCCAGGTCTCATAAAGCCACACCCAGGGGCCCTGTACACCAGGTTCTCTTTCCCTGGCAAAGGTCAAGAGTCAACACTTCCCTGAGATCCTCAAACCCCACTCAAGCACCGGCTGGGATGCTGCGCACTCCTTAAGACAGAACAAACAAGGATTTTCTGCCCCTGGACCAAACTCTAACACTGCTCCTGAGACAGAAGGCCAAGGAGCAGCCTTAAGGATCTGAGTTTCCCCTGTGACGGACAATAGACCAGTGCCTCCTAAAGACGCCAGGGCATGGAGAGATGGAGGGCAGAGCAGTGTAACCCAAAGCCTTCTCATGTTCCTTTTGTCCATCACACTAGGCTTATTTATCTATATACCAATAAGAAGTCACAGATCTGTGCCACCTCAGAGCAATCTATGACAAAAGGGATGGCGATGTTACAGTTCTGTCCACCATGGGCAGTCCACTACGAGCAGGGCATCCCACAATCCAGCCAGGATAGGAGTGGAGCAGAGTCTGGACACAGAACAGGAAAGCCAGGGTGAAAGCAAGATACTCCTGGAAAATCCTGTAGCTATTTATTTTTTTTTTCTTTTTGGGGACAGCTTCACTTTGTAATTCAAGCTGCCCTTAAACTAATGACAATGGGGGCTGGGGATTTAGCTCAGCAGCATAAGCGCCTGCCTTGCAAGCATGTGGTCTGAGTTCCAGTACTGATAAGAAAAAAAAAAAAAAAAACTAATGACACCCCTCGTCTCAGCCTCCAGAGTATTGGGAATACAGGTATGTGCCATGGCACCTAGCAACAATCTTTGAGCCTGTGTGTGTGTGGGGTACTGGGGACTGGCCACAGAGCCTTGGCACTGAGCTACATTCCTAGCCCTTTTTCCTGTTTCTTGTTTTTTTTTTTTTTTTTTTTTTGAGGCAGGGTCTCACTAAATTCCCTGAGCTGAGCTTCAAAGAGCAATCTTCTTGCCTCAGCCTCCCAATGCACTAAAATTGTAAGTGCCACCATGCCCAGTTAGCTTTTTTTTTCTTTTGTGCCGGGACGCGACTTATGTCCTCGAGCTTGCCAGGCAGGCACTTAAGCCACTGAGCTAAATCCCCAGCCCCAAGCCTTCTTTTTGAAAACAGTCACTGCTTATGACAAATGCCTGTGATCCTAGCACTCAGAAGTCTGAGGCAAGAGTACTGCCTCAAGTTTGAAACCAGTCTGGACTACACAGCTAAGTCTAGACCAGCTTGAACTACATATTAAGAATCTGTCTTACAAATAAGTAACATTTAGGGCTAGGGATTTAGCTCAAGGGCATAAGCGCCTGCCTCACAAGAGGGTGGTCTTAAATTCAATCCCCAGTATCAAATACAAATAAATAAATAAAATTTAAAAAAAAATAAACAGGGGCTGGGGATTTAGCTCAGCGACATGAGCACCTGCCTTACAACCAGGCAGTCATGAGTTAGATCCCTGGTACTGATAAAAAAAAATTAAATAAATAAATAAATTAAATAAACACTTTCTGGCCATTTTGGCTACCTACCCCACCTCCAGGACCATTAGTAGGACAACCTCTCTCACTTCCCCAGCACACCTTCTGACATACAATTCATTTAGTCAGGTTAAAATTGCTGGAGATGGAGTCAAAAAGCATTGCAAGACAGAAAATAAACCCATAAAAATGTACCACGAGAGGGAGCTTTGAATATGCTTGTGTAAAAATTAGTGAGTTACCAAAGTAACACTCTAATAATCAGCAAGGACAGCCCAGGCTAGAAGTAGTACACTAGCCACCACCATCTCAAGCAGCCTATGCTCTCCCAAGACACCCACATCAAATGACTGTGGTATTCCATGACCACAGAGAAAATATTTTGTGAGGTATCATGAAGTAAGACAGATAATATAAAAGCCAGGGATGTCATGGCTTCCTCAGCAAGAGAAATAGCTCATTCACATCCAAAAGCAACAGACCTTTCCCCCTTGCTCTTATTCATGGGACTAACCATGATCACATCTGGGTACATAACACCTGTCTATGTGAATGTCCACCTAAGTACAAATTATGAATGTTAATCTGCTTTTAATACCATCCGTCTTGGAGTCATGTCCCTACCACACATGTGTCCTTTTAGGACTGCCAGGAAGTGTTAATACTTCAGGGCGGGCCACAGCAAAAGAGAGATGGTTGCAACAAAACTCATGTCTCAGCTTTATTACCATCTTTGTGGTGGCTCTTCTGTACAGTGAAGAATGAAGGGGACTCCCTACAAGAGAGTGGAGAGACTGTAGGCAGGACCTGACCGTCAGCAAAGGCTCAGGAATGACCAGAGGCTGGCAACAACAAAACAAGGAAAGAAGCCAAGGGCCACCCTTTCCAGGTTTCACCAAGAACCCAGAGCAGGCTCAGACTCCCAAGGACCTAACAGTACAGTCCTTAGAAGCCAAGGTCTGGACGCTATAAAGGAGCTCCCACAGCTGAGCAAGGCCTACAGGGCAAGGGTGTCTTTGATAAGCCTGCGCATGGTGGTGGTGACGGAGGTACCCAGGGCATCAGTGATCTGAAAGGAGATCTTATAAAGGTAGGGCTGCACGTCCCGCAAGCCTGTGTCAAACACGTTGTCCACCTCCGACTGTGTGGGCATCTTGGGCAGGTACTCATGCCGGTTCATCACCTCCACAATGTTGATGATTTTCTCACAGAGCTTTTCGCCCACCTTCTCCCGGCAGATCTGCCGCTCCTGCTCCGTGGCCAGGGCCACCACGTGCACCTTGACTGTCCACACTTCCCATGGGATGCACTCATCTGAGAAAGGCCAGCGAGATTTCTTCTTCTGATAGAACTCCAAGGACATCTGCCCCAACCCATCACCACCTGAGTTCCGCAGTGCATCCTAAGGAAGAAGAGGTAACAGATGAGCAGGCCGAGGCCTCTGAAGAGCTCCCATCCTACCAGTGCCTACTTCCTAAACCCCAGGGAATTACACTCTCCTAGTTCTTATTGGTCCTTCAGAGATGACAGAGAATGAGACTGGAAAGGAGAAAGTACTTGTGTAATGTGACACAGCAATCTGCCAGGCTAAAACTGAGTGGTTCATTCAAACCAATACCACACCCTCCCTAAACCAGCTCCTTCAGCTTTGTGTGTGTTTTGCTTGTTTGAGACAGGGTCTCACTGTGTATAGCAGGCCGGCCTCGAACTATGTAGCCCAGGCTGGTCTCAAACTCAGTGATCCTCCAGCCTCACCTTCTTGATTGCTGGGATTACAGGTGTACACCACCACACCCAGCATCAATTTTGTTAACCACTTAATGAGTCCAATTATTTAAACACAGGATAACCAAAAATTGCATATCTTATGTGTTGATTTTTGTAAGATAATATTAACAGTAAACATAAAAATGACAATTTTACCAAACTTCGTCAATATAAGAATTGACTGAGCCAGGCATGATGATGCACACCTGTATCCCAGCACTTGGGAAGCTGAGACAGCAGGAATGCCTCAAGTTCAGGGCCAGCCTGAACTACTTAGCCAGACTGTCTCAAAACAAACAAACAAACAAAGAACCAGTTGAAATGACACTTGCCCAGTGACACTCAGGATAAACTGTTTTGGGTCCCACCCCCAACCCATTTTTTTTAATCTCAAATAGAAAAAGAAGAGAAAAAAAAGACTAAAATTTCAAAACATGTCAATCGGGCAACAATGGTACATACACTGTACATTGTCATCCTCAAATCATTCACCCAGAGCACAAGACATCTATCTGCATTCAACTGAACAACACTGGCAGGGTGAACTGTTAAATGGTTAAGAACTGACATTAACTCCCCAGGCACAGTAGCACACATCTATAATCCCAGCAACAAGGAAAGCAGAGACAGAAGGCTTGAGAGTTTGAGGCCAACCTGAACAACTAAGTGAGACCTATCCCAGAGTAAAAATTTAAAAGGCTGCACATACAGCTCAATTGCAAAGTGCTCGCCTAGCATGAGTGAGGCCCTGGATTCAATCCCCAGTGCCCACTCCCCGAGGAAAAAAGAGAATTGACCTTACAGGACTTACTCTGGTCTACAGGCACTTATACTATCCCAAGAACTTTAAACAATCCACTGGCTTCTCTGAACAACACATGATGTAGATATATGATCTTTATTTCACTAAATCAAAATGAGGCTCAGAAAAGGAAAGTAATTTTTGCCAAAGCCACAGGTGTATGAATAGCTGTATCAAGGAAGGGTGACACTAGACTCCAATTTCAAAAACCTTTTCACCTTTATATTAAGGGCCTGCTCCTTCCATAACCCGTCTTTAAGGTCCTTATCCTTCAAAACATTCTCCAGCATCTCCTTTTCCACAGGTAACTGACTCTATTAGCCTTCGCCACTGCCAATTATACAGCACTACCTTATCTCATGG